TTTTCCAACCTTCACAATTCTTGGCTTGGGGTCAAGGCACAGCCTTCAATGAATTCTTGATGAGATGTGTGGACAAGGAATTTATCTTGAAAATTTTTTTTAAGTTTTCAATCATCTATAGAGTTCATTTCAGTAGTTTAAAAAATGTAGTGGCATCGATGACCCCCATCTTTCCTACTCTGCCCATGGGGAAGAGAGCAGTAAAACAAGTTGCCTTCAGTTGTGAATGCAAAAGAGACTCCTAGAAAGTTATAGGTGGACCCCACCACTCTTGGCAATCATAGAAACCACAAACAGGCTATTGAGATGAATGTTGTGATTCACCAGCAGCATGGACTTGCTTCTGTGGGTGGTGACTTCCCCTTCCACAGCCCTGCTCCTATACGGCTTGATGGAGCTAACCACATAGTGCGTTTATTTCTTCTCCATCATGGTGAATTTCAGGATGCATTCTCACTTGTGCTTACTAGGTGCACTTAAAGATGTGACCATTCTGGGTACTACCAGCTAGCATCAGAGGCAACAGTAAGAACACCATGATCAAGCTTTCTTCTGAAGACCTGAGAAGGCTGAACATGTCATATCCTTTCATGTCGGCTGTGACTCAGGTATGACACATAACATTAGCTGAACTGAGAAACCTGGGCAAAGTGGAGATGAGTGGCTTCACACGGTTAGGCAGTAACAGACTAGGAGAGCCCCTTGAGGGTTCTTCCCACCTGACTACTAATTAGCTAATTGACTAGAGCTCGGAGAGGAGGCTCTGGCTGCTGCAGGACTGCTCCCTTCTTTCCCATGGATAGCATTCTCTTTAGTTAATCAGTGCTTCCCCATTCAGAATGGGGAGCAAAGTGGAAAAGCCATTCCCAAACGCAACACGCCATTGCAGTAGGAAAGCACAGCTTGGAGATATAACACATTTGAGCATCTTACCTAAGCTGGACCGAGTGTTCGAACGTTCAATTATTGCTCTCTTGCTGGGATTATTTAGGACAGACCTCTTAGCAAGAGAAATGTCAGCTGTCACTCTCGTTATTGATATCCTATGAATAGGAACACAGAACAAAACAAGCCAGTAAAAATGTCATGGGGCTCTCCAAGTGATTCATCACCATAGTACTTAATAACCACTTTACATACTACAGTGCAACCGCAGTAAAATAAACATTGGCCACAAGTATTTTAAACAGGCTTTGGTTAGTATTAACATACAAGCAGAGCAGAATGGGGGAAGGTTTGGGCTATTTAACACAAATTGTTTGCTATAAAAATGCAGCTCTTCCTCTACTGTTGTCTGCTTTGCTGAATTCTCTCTAATGCAGACCACACCAGGAGGCAATCAAAACATATGAATAAACCATGCTTTTTCCAGGAAGCAGCAATACAATTTCCCTACAATTCACAGTTGTGTTGCAATTGAACAAGACCTTCAGGAACTACAAATGCTCTGCCCTGGCGTATTAATGGTGCTGGTCAAAGGGGGAAATCCTCTTCATTTTGATCATGAAAGACAATCCACCAGTTGGTATTGTAGCTATGTTGCATTCCTGGTGCTCAACAGTTCATTCATGACGCATGAAGCATGTCTCCGCAGGCTGAAAGGAATGTTTTATTTCTAAGAATATGGAAAACATGATTTCTCGTCTGCGGGAACAACATTCTTTAGCATATTTGCACATGACTTTGAATGCAGATGGTGGGCAGTCAGAAGACACTATACCTGAGGGCAGTGTTAGGATCATGCCAGGATTATACATTAGAAAGTATCCTGGAGTCACGCTAGAGAAGCACAAAGCAAAGACACTGCAAATGAATGGAGAGAGGGGTCTATTTGCATATGATTCATCAAATGAGAATCACTGGAACTTAGAATTTTAAAAATTCTTTATTTTAAACTGGGATTGTGCAACTTCAGATTATTGTCTACCTGTAGAATGCAAAAAATGCCTCCCTAAGCCAGTTCCTGCCACCATGGACATTTCTCCATTCTTATCTGCATAGCGTGGCAGAGTTCCAGAAAGGAGACAAAAAGAGTAGTGCCCTTTCCCCTTCATACTTAGTCAGTGTGCCCATTCTCCTAATTTTCAAACTCCTTTGGGGGTTGGAGCAGGGAAGGGGCGGAGTTATTAACAATTGTTGAGTCGCATGGCAGCTCACACCTGTGTTGGGACAACACTATCAGCACTCTCAGGAGACTCCAGTGACATGAAGCCTTGGGGAGAATTAAAAATATTCCTTTTTCATAAATGGTTGGAAATCGCTTCTTTAAAGTAACAGGCCGTGCAAAAATTCTGCTGCTATTTTAAAGCAAAGTACCCCTTGCTTGTGTCATTGTATTTATAAAGTGTAGATGGTCAGAAAGTTTTAAATTTGTAGAATGCTTAGGCCCTAATAAATTACTTGAGGCGTCTTCAAATTGTTTTCTGCAGAAATCAAGAGTTTCGGGAACTACCTCCAGGGCCACGGAGAACACTCAATGCAGGCTGAGTCGTTGGAGCTCCATTTTTTCCACCCTCAATGACACGCAAACATCTCTGCATTTCTGTTTTCCACCTTGGGGCTTTATATATGATTTCATTGTAAAAAGTTGTTCAACTGCTAAAAGATGTTGGGAAACTCCAGTCAAGTAAAATTTCTTCATTTTACCAAGAAGAAACGGAGACACAGAGAGGAAGTTCCACAGTTAGTTAGAAGCTGAGAAGGTCTAAAACCCACGGCCTCGAGCAGCAGGCCAGCACTTAGTCATCTGACTTACAATTAATTCTCTTACAGTTTCAGTTTTCTTCTCCAGCAACCCCAGATCTCCAGATAGGAGCCAGATCATCAAGTGCAAATACATAGTCACTCCTGGCCATGTGTTGCTAGATGGTCAAGATTTACTCGGGTTAAAGTCAGGTGAGCCCATATCTGAGTCCCCATTATTCTGTTGCCTGCTGCAACTTGAGGATGAACTCTCATAGGCTGTCATTGCGGTCATAGTTCCTTTTACTTACAGAATAGGGTTTGTTTGTTGATTTTTGTTTCTGGTTTTGTTGTTGCTGTTATTTTTATTTCTTTTGTTGTATTACGAATGAAGTTGCTGGTTAGAAANTAGGAAAAGGTGATGCTGCTGTAAATATCGTCACTGAAAAGGGCTTGTACCGGAATCCCATTATTTATTTTTGCTTGTCCGGTACAAATTCAAGTTCATGTCACTCACTGAAAAGTTCTCCCTTCCATAACCAAATGGATTGACAGGGTGTGTGGGATCTTGAATGTTCAAGACTATCATGCAACTCTATTTTCTTGGGCTTTGCATAATAGCATACAATTCTCATTTCCCACAACATCACTGATGTTTAATGTATGATCTGTATTAGAAGTATGAATTTAAAGAGTCCACATAGCTATCAGTTTTCATATTACCTAATCGGATGGCCAGAAATAGTTCATGTTGCTTTGAAAGGTGACTAGCTTTCAGGATATCAATGTAAAGAATTTAGACAATTAGGCTTATTTGCAAAATCCTTCTGAAATCACATTCTACATTTGTTACTAATAATAACATACCTGTCTCTTTTTTCTCACATGTCAAAAACAACTTTAAAGAAAAAAAAGGGAGATTTTTCTCATGAGAAAAGTTTGAAAACTAAAATTTAGTTTTATTGCAGTGAATTTCAGCCTCAGGCTGTTGGGGTATGCTCTCCATTTGTTGTTTTCATTAAACTGCCACTGGTTTAGTGTAACTCCTGGCCAGGACTATAACTAGAACAAGTCTATATTGCTTTAAGCTTCAAACCTGAATAGAATGTTTTCTGAAGGAGGAAAAAGGCCATGATGCAACTGGGCTGCTCTCCTACAGAGAACCCGTGAGTCTCTGGGTAAATAACTCAGAAATAACTGGGCCTTATTTACTCTGCACCAGCAATGAGGTAAGTGTGGTTTCTGACAAGCCCTGAGGGCAGGCACGCCTACTGCATAACCAACACAAAATTCCTGGGCAGTGGGCACTCTGGCATGAGCAGAGAGGTTCTTGGGCAGAGCAAACCAGGAGGCTTGCGGAGGGCCACGCGATATAACAAAGTGGGACCACTATTTGGATAATATATAAATAGAATGCAATAAGTTGTATGTGTGAAGAAGAGAAAGGCATATTTATCTGCATAGCTCATTTTCTTAAAAAAAAAAACCCTTTAATCAAACCTGACAGTCTTGAGGCCTGCTGAGTGGCTCAGTTGGTTAAGAGCTCACTCAAGAGTGCGAGCTCTGAGCAACAGAGTCGCCGGTTCGATTCCCGGCCCGAACTGAGCTGCCGCTGAGCTGCCCACAGGTGGCAGGATGGCTCAGCTAAAAAAACTAAAACAAAACAAAACAAAACAAACCTGACAGTCTTGACTACCCTGGCTGATGCTCAGGAGGGTTCCAATGGAAGTTTCATTATGAACCCACTCCAGACAAATGGAGCTCTGAGAAGTCATGGGCTATGCTGGAGAGATCTCAATGAATGCTTCTATAACCTGACCATGCTGATCTGGGCCCACCTTTCTCCAGCATCTCTATCTATCACCTGTGATCTNTATAACCACAGGGCTCTTCTAGTTCCAAAAAATCCTCAACCCTCAATGTCATTATCTTTTATACCTATCTGAACTTTCAGGCAGCAAAGTTAAGGGAAGTCAAACCAGTATGTTTCCTTTCTCTTTTCTTCTCATCAAAGTGTCCGCATGACTGGATTAAATAGGTTGCTGAGTGTTTGTGAGGTGATCAAGGCAGCAGTAAGGACATGGGGCACCGGACACGAAGTTCAAGTCTTACTACAGCAGACCCCACCCAGTTCTGGATTCCTGTATGTAGCCCACACAACAGCTTCAGTGTGTACCAAGAAAGCCTTTAGGTTTAGGACAACATACCAATATTGTCATCATTCTAGAATAAAAACAACAATGCTGATATGAAAATAAAAATTGCCACCCTCTCCTTACTAGTCAAGAATGATTAGAACAAAAAATGATTGTACTTACTGGGGGACACTGTGCCAGTTTATCAGCTGCCACCAGTTGCACATTTAAGTGTTTACTTTGGGACTTTCCTCTAGATTTAATCAACCTCTGTAAAACCTGAGAGAAGAAGACATGAATCTGATAAAACTGTCAATAAGTTAAAAGGAAACCAAATAAACCAAAGCCCTTTTTTTATAGTCTGTTTAGCACTGTGTATTAATAGAGAGAAAATGCAATGTGACAAATCATATATATAAACTCTGTAATGACATCATCCACTTACACTGGCTTTCAGTGATAGTGGATTTGGTATGTTCATCCTATTCTCGTGCCATATGAGATCTTGGTGGGATCTTGAATTCCTGCCCTAGATTTTACCCAGAGATTTCAAAGACAGCCCTGCAAAAGTGGAGGAACTGCTCTGTACCAGGTCATTTACTCGTATGTCCAAATTCAGATGAGTAATAATTGTGGTTCACTATCCAATGTCAGATAAATATCAGAGTCATTTATATATTTGGTCCTTTTTGTCACTGATAATTATCGAGGCAGTCCAGTTTACTTTACATTAATGAGGTAATTTCATGACAGAAATCTAAGCAAAACATTAGCACTGTATATTGCCACATATAAANAAAGTGAGAGAGGTAGAAGGGCAGGGCACTATGGCTGAGCAAAGACCTTATCACAGCCTGTCCTTTCCGAGGGGTAGGTTACTGTAGAAAGTGTTTTTCATTCTAAACACCTGCAGTTACTAAAATTTTTCCCCTTGGTTCTCCTTCAAGGTGTTGAGGACTGAACAGGCAGTATTCACTGGACCCAAGGCACACCCCACACTACACCACCCGCCCTCACTGCTGACAGGCGGCTTCCATCGGTACCTATATGGAAGCAGACCCTGGAGGAGCCAGCTCCAGGTATCTGTCTCCTAGATTCTTGATCAAGAGCGGAAGCATAACAGACGGGTAGTTGTACCTCATAACCCTTCAGAGACGGCCCCACTAACACCACCGGACGCATGGATGGCACAACATCGTAAGGAGGGATGTGCTCCGTCTGAAAGAGAGGATTTGACAGGCGTGACAAGGTGAGGATAAGTACACCTCCTCCACAGCCACAACACTCATCATTCTCAGTTCAGGTGAGAAATGATTACCACAGGCCCCCACCGACAAAGCTCACCCCTTATTTTCAAGGTCACTGAAATGGAGCATTGCAGGCACTTTGGGTAGAAACCTTAACAGTAGATTTAAAAAGGAAACACAACTTACCACTTTTTGCTTCTGCTTTGCTAAAAGACAACAATGAGAGCCATATCAAAATATGTAATCTCTGTAAATAATAGTACATGATTTTAAAAGATGGAAGAATGGACCAACTTGTCCCTCTAAATCTCATCATTTGGCTATCACCCACTCTGCAGAAGGATGTTCTAGTATTTCATTCAGGACAGCCCAATTTTGAGGATACCAACAAACAGACAATATCCTCCCTGTACAAACCACCTGGTATCCTGATTTCACATTGGGTGGGGAGGGAGGTCTTCACAACAACACTGGAAGTTCTGGGCCAGCATGGGCCGCGGGATATTCCCTGCCGAACACAGCACACAGTGTGGCTGGGAACAACTGGGACAAGTAAAATG